TCTGTATCACTTATTTCACTCTTGAGTCTATTAGTTGATTTACTTGTCCATCCTTATTTCTATTTTCATTTGATTTTGTTTAAACAGGTACCTGGCTTGGTGACTTTAAAGAAACTCTCCTGTGTTAGTTTTGCTGGTGTTGATAGTCTAGATGATGTTAAAAATCACACATATAATGAGTTATTTGTTTCTGGAGGTTTTATCGTTTCTGATGAATCAATTCTAAATCCAGAAGTTATCACAATTGGTAAGAGTTTTTTGAAGTCCATTCCCATAATTTTCTTGAACTTCTATTACCTAAACTTTCTTTCCTACTTTTAGTCTGGGCCTCTTACTCTGTAATAAAGCAAAGCTCTGTATACCTACTTACTGTACGAATTAGAACACTCCTCTTTCTTGTTACTGATGTTCTCTTTTTCATGTGTAGAGGCTTTATTTTTAGAACTTTAGGGCTATGTAGGTTCCTGTCTCCCTTATAGTGAAAAAAAGAGAAAGGGTGGCAGAACATAGGAAATGTTTACATACAGTTGGAACAAGTACTTCTGAAAATTGGTCATGGATGAGATTGCCTTAAAATGGAAATTTAAAAATGGAATTGAAAAATTTAAAAATTAAATTTTTAAAAATGTCTTAACAGAGAAACTTAAAAATTTTTTGACATTCCTCGAAGAACTTAGTACTCCAGAAGGAAAATGGCAATGGAAAGTCCACTGTAAATTTCAAAAAAAACTAAAGGAACTGGGAAGGTAAGATTTGGAAGATATGTTTGTGTTCACACTTTGTCTATTTTAACCTGGTTTTAGGACACAGATGCTACTATTTTCACAGGTATCCTTAGCCAGATGGGATGTGTGAATTATTCTGGCCGTGCCTGGATAGTTTAGTTGATAGAGTATCTGATTTTGAATCTGAGGAATTAGTATTCTTTTTTAGGTAAAAGTTTAGTGATAACTCTAATTGGATAGGTACTAACTGCCTTTTTAGTCTATTTGAGGATTTAGAATACTTTTCAAGATGGAATAATTTGCATACTTTATTTTTAAAAACCTGAACTGTATATGCCAACTTTCCCCATTAAAGGATTGACTCCCTTAGACAGCTTAGTATCAGAGGCTTGGCTGTTACATTGATTCAGTTTGACAATTAAGTAATGATGTAGTAACTCTTTCATTTTGTGATCTGATATTAATCCACCATTTTCTTAAAATACCAATTTTCACATTAACAGCTTGGTCTTTGGACTCTAGCTATGTTTTTCAATAAAGAATGAATATATTTGGACAAAGATTCATTTCCTCTTGCTTGATAAGGAATTTATAATTAGGATATTCATTTTCAATCATGTGATAGTTCAAAAGGTGTAACTTGTCTCGTCTTCCTGATGACAGCCATACCCCTTTCCCCTCATTAAGATACAGAAATAGCTTAGATCCATGTATTTTTTAAAAATTATGCTTTCTTTTATCCTTTCATGTCCTTTATTATAAGCTCTAAATTAGCAAAGCTAAAGGCAACTAATTTATTATTTCCTAAGTAGAAATGATTGGTGGAGATTTTAGTCTGAATTGATAAGTGACCATCATCAGACCTGAGAAGTCTCTGTGCAATTCCTGCCCTCTCTATCCCCTAAGAAGCATCCTGCACCAGGCAGTGAGCATACCATGTAGTAAAGTTATTAGTTACCTAATTTGAGAAATTAAGGTTTTAGTCTGAAGCAAGAATGTCCATGTATGTGAATTGCTTTATTCCACAGGTTGAATGCAAAAGCTCTTAATCTGTTGACACTTCTGAATGTGTATCAGAAAAAACATCTGGTTGAAATTTTATCATACCACAATTGTGACTCACAAACTCGAAATGCACCAGAATTGGATTGCCTTATCAGACTTCAGGCTCAGAACATACAGCAGCGACACATAGTCTTTTTAACAGGTAAAGAGTGTGCTCTTTTTTCTATGACTTGAGAATGTAGAGGGGAGGGTTTTGTGGGGCTGTGGTGGATATTAAAGCTACGACACTGAAATTGTGGAGATGAGGATTTTGTGACGACTGGGATTTGAGGGCAGAGATCTTTTGACCTTGCATATTTTTGTTTAGAGAAGAACATCAAGATGCTTTCCAGTTACACAGATAATGGAATAGTGGTTGCAACTGCTGAAGACTTTATGCAAAACTTTAAAAGTCTTGTGGGCTATCACAACTCAAACACAGAAGAAAACCTCCCACTGCTTGGTGCTAAAGAGAATCTTGAGTCACAGTCAGGTAACTTTTCACTAGTTTTCATTTTCCTTAAGGCAGACAGAAAAAGAGTACTGCTTTTATTGTTAACAAATCAATGTCTATTTTGAAAACCCTCACCCCAGGAGAAGTGTTTGAAGGCCTTTTAACATTCTGGTAATTTAGCATTCACAGTCTGCTCATTTATTATACTGTACTCAGTTGGTAGTTCCTATCTAATATAACTATGCATATTCTCAGTTTATAAAAGTTTTACTGGCTGCTGTTTTTCAGCAAAGGGGTGTGTGTATTAAGAAAAAATAAGAAATCAAATGCAGAGATTTACAATTGGGCCTTAAAATAATCCCAAATGTGTAAGACCATCTAATTACAAGGTAGCATAGATAAATCTTTAGTCTTTTGTGAGATGGCCTCTGCTTTGGCTCCAGGTAGTATAAAATGAAAGATACTTTGTATCTCTGAAAAGCAGAGATGATTGAACATTTGATAGTTAATCAGCTTAGTAAACCAGTCCAGTAAAGCTAGATGTCAAACATTTTTATTTCTTATTTGTTTTGTCAAATACTGAATTACCGTATAACTTTAGATGCTGTTTTGACATTAACCCCTTTGGAGCTGGGAGTTGGGATTTCCCAACATTAAACGTGAACACATTACGCAGAAGCTTTTAGCATCGGATATCTGGACATTCACACCTAGTGTGAGTGTTGTGACTAAGTGAACTTGTGGCAGAAGATCAAGCTTTAAGGGATTGTGGACTTGCAGACCCTGACACGTTGTATTGTGTGAGTAGTGTATAATTTTAAAACTTAAACCAACTGTGTATTTCAATAGAGGAGGACTTTTTGTTTTTTAAATGTAGCTCTTTTAGAAAGCGATGAAAAGGATGAAGAGGATATGTCTCTGGATTCAGGGGATGAAATCTCACAAATAGAAGTATGCAACAATTTTCATTCAGAAATATTGGCGAAAGAAACCAAAGGATCACGTGGAACAGATCAAAAACAGAATAGTCATATTGAATTGCAGTTATCTCTTGACATGCAAAACAGTTTATTAGAAGATAAGACTTATCAAATTGACTCTGAAGAGAGAACTTCTATTGATAGAGCGGGATCAGAAGAAAACAGCAATTCAGCAGAACAAGATTTATATAGCAACTTTCAATTAAACATGTCTCATCAATTTAGTAATTTTAATGTTCTTACTCATCAGACATTTTTGGGGACACAATATACTCTTTCAAGTCAGTCTCAAAGTAAAAATTACTTTTTATCATCATACACACAAAGCTTGGATAGAGATTAACCTCCAGATAAATTGGAGAAAAAGTGAGTCCTCTAGGCCGTATTCAAGAGAGAGAATTCTAGAACTTTTAAAAAAGTTTGTTATGGACCTCCCCCCCTCCCACAAAGGTGAATTAATGGTTTTTATTTCATCCTCTAAACAAAACGTTCCTTTATCCTTTGTTTTTTTTATTTAAATCATGATGGCCTGTAACAGTTGAAGCATCTGAAAATTGAAATAAATATATATTTTTAACGTATATTGTTACTTGAATTATCTCATGATGGCACTTTTTAAGTTTTACATTTGTATTGTCACTTGTAGTTGAGCTTCAAATTGAAGCTTGTTTTATATGTAAAGTAGTTATTTACAGAAAGGATGGTCAGCACCAATAGCTTTACTTCCTCTAATGTCTAACTATTGTTGAGATGAATCAACTATTTATTTTGACTTAAGCTTTTGTATAGTGTTTTTACACAGGTATAAGCCAGAGATGTTTATAGGAATATTTATATGATTCTGGCTCAGTACCACAAGATTTATCTAAGAATGCAATTTCACTTAGATGATAAACTGTGTACATAGGATTTAATACCAGGCAGCACTACTTTTTTAATCTTTAGGCTTAGCCACTGTAAAACTTGCCTGTTGTGCTAACATTTCAGTCAGCTTATTTCTGTTAGGTAAGTGAATTACAGTTTTCAGTGTGTGTGGTCCTTGATTTAAATTCAATATAATCTTTTTAAAAATTAAGGCTTCTGTTATTTAAAGATTTTAGGCAATTTAGGGGAGGAGGAAGCTTAACTATGGATTTTTAAATTGTTAGTCTCAGATGAATGGAAGTATATTTTTTATTTGATCCTTGGTAGCATTAATTACCGTATAGTGCACTCAGGTGCTACAGTACTGAAAATAATTTTTTAAATTACCGTTAATGTGCATATAAATGTCAAACCTGTATCTGTTGCTGATAACTGCTTCTCCACTACTAATGTAAACTTGGAAACTGTGTTTTGAAAGGTAGAATTTAGAAAATGTTTCCATGAATTTAAATGGTATTTGGAGTAGATGTGTAGCTATGTCATGTCAGATCGGGCTTTGGCACCTCAAAAGGATTTGTGAAGGAATTCCAGTTTTTTTACTCTTGTATATAAGAGTAGAATACCTGATGGTATTTTGTGGCAGAATGTGTTTATTCCAGACTGTGTCACGGTAAGTAGAAAGTTTTTATAAGATTTAAATACCCAGGTAGAGTTTGGGTTGGTTGGTTTGGTTTGTTTTTTTTTTTAAAAAAAAAGTTTTTTAAACTACTAAACCTTTTACAAAAGTATGTTTTATTATAAAAGACATATATTGTTTTACTATATACCATTTTTAATAAGCACTTACAAATAAGCTATTTGAAAATTACAAGTGTTGAGGACATTTATAATTTGGAAAGTGAAGCAAATCTGAAGAATTTGGTTTTATAAATTTTAAAATGAAGAATTAAAATTCTCTTCTTGATGTGCAGCTCAAGGCATAAGATTAGTTTCTAATTCCTTTTGCTTCTGGAGAAGGCCCTGTAATCACATTGATAAGTTTTGTTAGTAAGGGGTGTCAGCAAACTCGCAGATAACCCTTTCCATTCCTGCAAATCCACACCTCCATTCCTCAGTGATAGTTTCAAAGCTTCTCGTGTGTCATGTTACATTTTGATTGCTGAAGTGTTCTACAGGAACTCAAACAGCAGTTCCTCAGTTGGCTATGTAGCTGTTACTAAATACCTGTAAGATTATATTTTTGCATGAAAACTCAGTCTCCCTGTAAGACTGGCTGCTTATCTTGACTGCATTAAATTATAATTGTGGCACTTCTTCTTGACCTCACAAATATTATTCCTACTGAGCTCTTGAAATAAAATTTCAGGAATCTTTACCATGTGAAGCAGCTCTGGTGGTTAAAGCTGTGTGGCTGCTGGCCAGTAGGCCTATATTGCCCAAACCAACCAGGTGCTCTGTGAGCAAAAAAGGCAACAGTCTGTTTCTGTTTACAGGTTTAGAGACCTATATATTCTGTCCTAGAAGGTGCTGAGTCAGAATGAAAGGGGAATGGTAGATTTGTTACTATGCCTTGGAAGTAGAATTTAAAAATGAAAAGATTTTTGTATATTACTCATTTATATCCTCAGATGATTAAATGAGCATGTATGGGGGTAAAAGTCTATCTCCACAGGGTATAAAGAATGGGTAAGTAACACTCAAGTCAACCAGCATTTTGAAATGCAAAAACTGTGGTCAGAATGACTGGATATAGGGAAAGGCACCTCTAAACCAGAAATTTATTTTTTCCTCCAATACAAACTCCCCAATAGACAACTTAAGCTAACTGCACAACCAATTTTGTAAATCCATTTTTTTGATTAGTGGGGTATGGGTCAAAAGAGAAGTTTTAAGTAATCATAGTGGGTATTATTGGTAAAGTCTTACGTATAATTTCATACCAAAATATATTCTTTGAAGACTTCCATCAATATGGTTTTGAACACTGCCAACATATTTTTAAAAGTATGGACTACACAGCAAAGAGTTTAAAGCATACCTTTTTTTTTGGGGGGGGGGAATTCTGGTATTTTCTAGGGCTTTATTGATAATGTTTTACCTTTCAAATGTATGTATTTTTCATTCAATAAAAATGTCTTAATATATGGAATGTCTCGTGACTTTATATTGAACAAAAATAATTTTAAAGGTTATTGTTGAAAATGGAATCCTAAGAATGCCTGGTGTAAGAAAGTCACATGAATCACAGACCCAATTAGGTAGGCTCTTCAAAACATTTAGCTACATAGCCATCTCTCAACCCTTGGAAAATACAGAAGAGTCACACTGGGGGTTGGGGGGAGCTCATACCTGTCTTAATTCTGATAAACCTTTAAGGATTGCTTGCTGTCGATCTCTGCTTTTCACCAAGTTAGGATTAAAAAGTGGGTCTCTGACATGGTTAGATTCAAACAGTTGTTGCTGGACCTGGTCACAATCTGAAAGCCAGATGAAATTGCTAAAGGTCAAATACATTTCTAACAATGTAGCCCTAAATCACCTAGTTTTTTTTAAAAAATTTTAAGAAATAATTTAACGAACTGTGGTGGTGATGGTGATTGTTATCGAGTCAAGCACAACTTACAGCAACCCTATGCACAAAAGGCCTAAAGCCTTTTAATTATTGTCATCTGTAGGAAAGGAAAATTCTGTCTCAACAGGGGTCACACTTGGCAGGAGTTCTTCTATGTGCTGGAGTGGTAATTTGGAATCTGAATTTAGGTTGGAACGATTCTGATTCTAAAGTGAGGACATCTTGGTTTTACGTACGTACCACGTGAATTTTGATGCTGAGGCTCCTGGGTTGAAGGTCTAGACAATGGAGCATCTGGATCTAGGTAAAATACCTCATTGGTTCGGACATAGGGAACAAAATGTGATGGTTCAGAAATCCGTAATGACAATTCTGTCTGGCTAGCTCCTGAAACCAGATTCTCTATCTCAGAACTACTGTTTTTCAGTGATAATAGTAATGTATTAGTCTGAGTTTGCTGGGTCTTGTATTTCACTGCAGAAATTGGCGATTGAGACCTATTTAATAAAACAAAACACATAAGAATTAATGCAAAGAAGCTTGAATTCTATGATAACCTTTTCATAGAAAGCACTATAAAATGAGATTAATTTTCATTTTTACTAGGTGATAAATTATGTGTAATGCAAAAAAATTACACCAATTTCTCCTTCACAGATACTTGCAAATTTATGTAATCACTAAATTGTCCTTGTAAAATGAAAACCCAGGTTACCTTAGTAGTTGTTCAAATGCATGTAGAGCAGTGAGAAATTAGAATGGCCAACCAATATGCATGTCCTGACTGAGGTCTAACAAGAAGGCACTGCTTTGTTTCAGCTCTTGTGAACAAGTATTCTTAACAAGGCCTACTGGAGTGCTGTATTTTCTCTTTTTTTATTAATTTTAATAAAAGTTTACAGAGACTTGGCGAGCTCTGGTGGCCTAGTGGCAAGAAACTGCACTGCAATCTCAGAGGTACATGGTTCGAATCCACCAAATGCTCTGCTGGAGAAGGAGGAACAATCTCCTCCTGTACCTGTCAGGTCTGATTTGACGGTACACACACAAAAATAATTTTTTTTTAAAAAAAAGTTTACAGAGACTTAAGGTTTCCAGTCATTCACTGTTGCCCTGTTCTCCCTGCCAACCTCCTCCCCCCAATTAACTTTTCTCCTTGATAAATAAAAGACAGACTCTTTATTTGCTATGCAATCCCTCCTCCCTCATCTGTTGCAATGCAGTATACATCATTCCTCCCCTTCATCTCTGCCTTCCCTCAACCCAATGTCAGTCCTGTTTTATAATAGTGGCCCTATGCAGTATTTGTCCTTTTGTGACTGAGCGATTTCACTCAGCATAAGTGCTGCATTTTCTTATTTGTTGCTCTTTACTGACAGCTTTTAAATGCTTAATATGGGAACCAACCATAGTGTTTAAAGTGCTGGCTATGTTCCTAAGCACAAGAAGGCTGTGATTTGCTGTAGTGAGAGAATGTGAGATAAGCTTTGTTCTAGCCTGAAGTATAGGCTGATTAAAAAGTTACTTGAGAGTATGTATTAAATGAGATGTCTTAAAAACACAAAACAAGGTCATACATTGACTGTTCAACGAAACAGTTGTGAATGGAGACATATATGACCCAAGGCAATAAAGTGCAAACTTTGTTCAAAAATAGCTAATTGTTTTTGTAACAGTTTTACAGACCATAACTATCAGGAGCAATGACAAACAACTGCATTAGATTCTAAGGACTGATGTTGGTTGGGTTAATAGATAATTTACCTTAATAAAAACAAATTTTCCATTACAGTACTACTCTGAGACAGCTTTAAACTGGCTAGTTGAAAGGCAGAGAATTAAAATTCTGCATGAACTATTTTAAAGCTCATTGCAAAAAAAAACAAAAAACAAACAAAAAAAAAAGCTCATTGCTTTTCTCAGTCATTTTTTTTCAAGTACCCCAATAACCCAAAGTATGCTTTGTCTACTATTTACATAATGGATAAACCAAATTGCTTAGCAGAACCTGGGAAAGAAAAGCTCACCCATGTTCCTGCTAAGGAGGCTGAGGCCCAGAACTATTTAGCTGCCATCAGTCAACTCTTTAAGTTCCCACTAAAACGCCACCCTTTTCCTTAAACCTCTATGGCTCACCTGAAAAGCACACCCTTCCAGTTCTTTGCTATATTCATATATGTATGTATGCATACATACATATATGTGCATACATGCATGATCTTGCCTAGATTTTGAGTAGATGTTCTGATGCTTGTCTCTCTCGGAATGCATTAAGTGACTAAGGAATCAACTGCAACTATAACATACCTTTCCTTGCTGAAAGAATTCATCTTTGGAGGCTCGTCTTCCTATAAAAAGGATAGATAAAAGAGGATAAGTAGTATATGTTGATTTTCCATAATGCTTCAACAACATTGTTATTTAAATAAACGGAGGATTACTTTTTTATTAAGACTGAGCAAAAGAAAAATCTTTCTATACATTCAGCAGTAATATTAATTCCAGATTTTAGAAATTGTCTACTATCTCTACAAGACAAAGTGTACACTTTGTAATCACACAGACTACATCAGCCACCACCTGCTAACCTTTCGTGTAACTGAAGCAAATGTTGAAAACTCTGCCTAGAATCAACATTTATGTCAAAGCATACACACAGGAGCTGTGTTGTCAATTTAACAATGCCAATACATATTTGATTAGAAGAGTTTTACCTTTTTAACTAGATGCCACCTTAATCTTGATTCAGTTTCTTGATGAGATGCATGAAGACTTTCTGGTGAGGTATTTCCATTTGGGGAAGGGAGTCCAGAATTTCTTTCTACTAAATGAAGCAGTTCCATCTGCCTCCTTACTTTGTTTTCTTCTCTCTGCTTTTGTAGTTGTTTAGGGTACTTTTCTGATGCTTTGATGTATCCCTTGAGTGGCTTATTTATATTCCAGTCAGGCCTCTTAAGACATTTCTTCCTGTGTTTCATTTGCTTCTCTGTTCTAGAGAACTCGTTACGCCAACTGTTTTCTTCTAAGTTATCTCCTTTACCCTGTTTAAAGCCTTGCTTGTTTTTATTCATGTTAAACTGTCCCCTGAATTCTGGAGAAATCTCAGGAGATGGACAATCTAGAAACTCTGTCTCAATTACTGACCCACAGTGTGATTCTGTACTGAACACTGCTGTATTTACATCATCTGAAAAAAAGCCAGATGATTATTATTAGCACCACATTTATTTAAGTTTCTACAGGATTGTCTGGGCTTTCACACAAAATGCTGTATCTGGTGTTCTATGTGTAAAGTATTTTTATTTTGGAGAAAAGTTAATCTCCCATCTTTTCTATCACATTCTCATGTTTTTTTGGTTTGGGTTTTTTTTTAAAGCAATTTAGAGCTCTCAAAAGAGACATTTAAACTTATTACCCTGGTTTGAAATTGGTAAATTTTAAAAAGATCTGTAAAATATTCTTTACTTCATAGATCTAATTGCTGCTGGATCAGAACCCACTCATAGCTGAACTCCTAGCACGTTTTTTTTCTGGGGCTGTAAATCACACATGAGGACACTTCATTTTTCTCCCTTGGAGCCAGTGGTACATTTGAGCCTTGGGTGAGCAATACAACTCTATGGACTATGCCACCAGACTCAGGAGCACTCAGTAAATATTTATTATAACCTCCTCCTCAAATCTAACTTTTCAGGGGGTTCTGGTGGCTCAGTGGTAAGAAACTGTGTTGCAAATGCACAGTTTTAATCCAGCAGCTGCTCCATAAGAAAAAGACGTGTGATTTACTGTAGCTGGAGGTGGGTCAGTTCTGCCCTGATGGTACACAACAACAACAGTCCTAATGATACAACATTCAAGATTCATTCCGTGCAACTTAAGGTAGAACCAGATGTAACTTCTAGACCATGCCTATCTTGTCTTCCCACTGGTAAAACGTCCACATTTTCCTTACAACAAATGTATGGTCCAGTGCTATTCTCGGATACTGCAGTTTAACTGAGTGAGAAACAACACTGCTAGGACTTTCTCTCATGAGTGAAATTTCAGATACATAATTAGGTGCTGAAAACCAGGTCTGGAGCTGTTCTCACTCATTGCACCAAGTCCAAACCAATGTACAGCTGACTCTCCAGCCAGTTTTCAATCACATGGGAGGAAATGGTCCATCTTTCTCCCAAGGAGCATATGGTGCATTTGAAACCACCTGTCTGAGTTGGCAGTGCAACTTTTAACCTATGCCAGTAAAGCACTCCAAAGGTATAGGTAATATCCAGTTTTAAATCTCCTGATTAAGATATTTACAGGAATTAACTCTCAGGTAGAGCAATGAACGGCTAACCCTGGGGGCTCAGCCTGCATCATTCGGGTTCAGACCCTCTTTCCAGCCTTCTGTACCTGACTGGCTAGACCACATCAATAGGTTTTAAGTTCTCTGGGTCTTTGCTTTGTCTAGAGGATTACCAGGCAGATTGAAAAGGGGCTCATTTCTCTTAGTTGGCCTCACGTTTCACTTCACTGCTCCTTATCTAGAGGTTATTGCTTCTATCAGGTGACTTTCATCTTACGGGTTCTATTAAACAGCTCAGTTACTATTAGCACCATCTCCTGTGATTCCCTTCCAACGACTCCTCTGGAAATAGTCCCCTTCTAAATAAACCATCTTTTATTATCATTAGACCTGACTTAAAAATTTCCTTATTTAACAGAACCTCCCGACCTCATCACCATCTTAAGCCTTAGTTTCACTTTTCCCTGGTGTGTAGGATTTGAATAAGCTTGGAATTTATGAGGACTGATGCAGAGTCTCCTGTTTAGGAGTAGTCTATCAAAAAATACCAAGAGAACATTAATAATTTCTATTACAGAAGCAGGTTGTACTAACAAATGCTTTAGGCCACTTCTCTTCACAGTCCATTTCTACTTTCATCTCACTTGGCACTGTATTAAGGTAAGATTAAGAGGAAAAAAAAAACAACCAACCATAAAACCTAGCAAAAAATCAGTGGCAGGGAAAGGATTTTCTTAAGACATTTTGGTATCACTGCACTACCAACCCAGGTAGGTAGGCTCTTTGTTGTACTGAGGGCAATACTGTTTGTTAACTGAATGGCAGCGAAACTGGCGTTTGCCTCTTTTTAAGTAAAACGAGGAAGCTCAAGAACCACTAACTGGAGAGTCCTGTGGTAAGTAGTTTAAAATGTCAAAAGATTCTTAAACAGGGCTGAAGGCATTTATAATGTGCCTTATTAATACCTATAAGCATGAAAGCCAACACCCATATTGTTTGGTGCCACTGAGTACAACCCATAGTGATACGATGAACAGATCTCTGTCCTATCCTGTGCCAACCTCACAGTCTGACATGCTTGAGCTCATTGCTGCAGTCATTTGTCAATCCACCTGCTTCGCCTTTTAAAAAAATTTAAGGTCAGTCCATGAGAAGATATGTCAAATCATCAGTTACAGAACTGCAAGCAGAATTAACCATTTTATACACAAAAAACCAAACCCCAAACTTGTTGCCATCAAGTCTGTTTTGATCATGATAATCCCATGTGCTACTCAGCAGAACTGTGCTCCACAGGGTTTCAAGGCAGGATGGCTTCATGGGTTCAGAAGGCAACTGTGAGGCCTTTCTTCCAAAGTTCTCGGTGGGTTAGAATCATCAACCCTGTGATTGAGTGCTAAAGCATTACAAACACTGATGAATAGGGCGCTCTGGTGAATTAGTATAGGGATTTATACTGCCAATGAAAAGAGACAGGGTTCGAATCCACTAGTTGCTCTGTGGGAGAGAGATCAACACCTCCTATGTGATTTGTAGCCTCTCCAAACCTGCTAGAGGGTCAGCACAGTAACTGATAAACAGGGAGCTCGTGGTGTAGGGTGTTGCAATGTGAACCTAGAATCTGCACCTCTGATGGTTAAATCCAGTGCAGTCTCCTCTGTTAGAGCTTTGGAAACCCACTGGAGAATCAGCTATGAGTTATTTTCACTAATGACAGGACTGATGAATGATAAAATATACCCACCACAAAATGGATACTATCTGGCAATAAAAAATTAAAATACTGATACATGCTATAATGTGGACACTATGCTAAGTAAAAGGAACAAGTCACAAAGACCATATATGGTATGATTACAAATTATGTCCAAATGCTACCAATTTATAGGGTTAAGAAGTACTTTTTTTTTTTCCCACTGAGGGAAGAAGTACTTTCATTAGTTGCCCAGGTCTGGAGGAGTTAGGGGGACTAGGGAATGAGTGGTAATGGGTACAGAGTTTCTTCTTGGGGTTATGAAAATGTTCTAAAATGATTATAAAGGCAGCACAACTCTGTACTGAAATCCCCCACTGGCCCTCCAGTGGGTCCAAGGTGGTCAATTTCACAGAAGACTGTCCATCTTTCTCCCTTGGAGCCGCTGGTGGATCTGAACTGTCAGAGAGGCCTGGCCTTGGGTTAGCACGGCAACCTCCAGTTCTCAATTTTTTTAAGTGTTAAACTTTCAATTCTAATCTGATCAGATATTTTATTATAGAAATACCTGTTTGCACACCAGTATTCTTAGGAGAGGATGTATAATTGACACATGCCTTCATCTTACAGTCGTCATCACAAGTATGTCTTGAATTTGAAATGTTAGCGGTTTCATGATATTCCACATTTATTTTATCAACTGGCAAGAAGAAATTAATAAAATGACAATTCAGAAATATTAATAAGACATTACATAGAGCAAAGCTAAATATTCAACAAGACTTTTAGATAATCAGTATGAACACTGCAGTGAATATTCAGAAAGGCCAACTTGATTATTTTACAAAATGTTTATCCATTTCTGTCAATTCCATTCTGACTCATCGTGCCCCAATATGAATAAGAAGAACTGCCCCATCAGGTTTCCAGGTCTGTGAACCTTGGTAAAAGCAGGCTGTCTCCTGTGGTCATCTGAACTGCCAGCTTTTTGGTTAGCAGCTAAGGGCATAACCACAGTTTCACCAGTACTCTCATAAAGGGTTATGTGTATTTTATGCTGTACTGAGCTTATAGAGATCAAGTAATATTACTCATTTTATTACTTCAGGCCTATTTTAAGTCGTATATAATAAAAATTATGTAAAATGATGTTAAAAAAGTATACTACTACTTAGCTGCATCTTAAAAAATTTTCCCAATAAGCACTGGTATTTACCAAGTTACATTAATTCACACTTCCAACATTCAACAACAAAAAAACAAGACCAAAAAAGTCCAGCTGAAAAATGGACAAAAGGCATGAAAAGACCATTCACCAAAGAGGATGGTCAATCACCCAATAAAGCACATGAAAAGGTGTTTAAGTTATTAGCCAGAGATGCAAACTCATACAATACTAAGGTTATCATCTTATTATCTCTGCTCAAATGGCAATGATCAAAGTCAAATGACAAATGATGGCAAGGATATGGAGAAACAGGAATCTTATCTACTGCCAGTGGGACCGTACAATGATACTATTATAGAAAATAGTATGATACTGCCTCAGAATACTAGAAACAGAACTACCTATGATTCAGCAATCCCACTCCTAAATACCTGCCTTAGAGACCTAATAGACTGGCATGAACAAATACACTTAGGTTCATTAAACTACTATTCCCAGTAGCAACAAGATGGAAACAATCTAAGTGTCCACCGAGCTGCAGATAAACAATGGGATATGACACAGCATGAAGAATAATGAGCTTCAGAAACAGTGGAGGTAAATCTCCACAGGAGTGAAATAATCACAAAAGGTCAAATGCCATATAAACTCACTTATAAAAAGATTATAAACTCACTTTCAAAACGACACACTCTTTAGATTGTAGATCACTGTTCTTTTTGGTGCTGGGAAAGTTAACACTGAAGGCAGGTGAGATAGCTTGGCCAAAATAAATGACATGACCCATATATACATCCCAAATACATATTTGGCCACATTTTTCCAATTCCTGGGGAAGTAGTTTGTAAAGACACTATGCTACTATTTATTTTTTTTCAGCATGTGAAAAAATATTGGCATAGTGGCACTTCCTGGAGGAAAGCACCAGCTGACAAACATGGAAGGCACGCACTGTAATGTGGTCATTACGATGGCATCATTACGGATACTTCTTGGACATAACCCGATCATGTCTCAAGACTGATTCTCTGGTTCCAGCTGTAAAGACCATATTCTTGGATGAAACTTAGTCCACTGGCATAATATCTACCATTCTGCACCTGGCTTGGTGAGGAGTGCCTAGAATCTTAAAGTTACTGTTAAGATATAATTATTATATTTTTTTTAATTTATTATTAAGTTCAATGAAAATTTACAGAGACTTTGAATTTTCATTCATCCATTGTTGCACTTTTCTCCCCTCCCAATCTTCCCCTTCTAGTATACTACCCTCTTGGAAAAGTAGAAGAAAAATTCTTTCACTGTTTTACAATCCCTCCCCTGAGGTCCACTCCACTCTACAGCCTTCGCTCTGGACTCCTGTCATGACAAAATCCCTAATAATTTTCCCTCTTAAACAGTTTTCTCCCTCATCTGTTTCAATGCAGTATACATTATTGAATCCATCCTTCTCAGTCTCTTCCCAACCCCAAGGTCAGTCCTGCTTTACAAGAGTGGCACTATGCAGTATTTGTCCTTTTGTGACTGAGATACTTAGCATAATGTCCTCCAGGGTCACCCATTTTGAATAATATTGCATGAGTTCCTTGTTTTTAAGATATATTTATTTATCTCTTCTGGAAAACAGGAAAAAAAAGAAACCAAAGACTCAAGGACTAACCATCTCCACACTCGAGGACTTCATCTACCCTAAGACTAGAAGTAAATGGTACCCTGCCACCACTCTATGATCAGGTTCACAGCAGAACAGAGAAAAATTCAGAAAGTGAGAACGCAAATGCTTGAAAAGCCCACACTTTTTGGACTAGTTGAGCCTAGATGATTTCTCATGATCACTGTCTGGAGATATTCCATAAACTTTGAACTGATTGGCCCTTGAGGTTTAGATTGGCTCATAAAAGAATGTTATCATTGAATATGATTATTGTTGTTGTTAGGTGTCCTCAACTTGAGTACGACTCCTAGTGACCCTATGAACAAAAGATCTGAACCCTGTTCTATCCTGCACCATTCTTACACTTCCTGACACAAAAGCCCATTGCGGCAGTCCCTGTGTCAATCCACCTGATGAGGGTATTCCTCTCCTTCGCCGACCCTCCGCCCTTCCCAGTATCATGTCCCTCCCTACGTTTAAAAGAAAATCTCTATGAAACCAAGTGGTAGTAAGCACCCAAAAGCAAAGATGAAATGGGGAAGGACAGGGAAATCATGTTACTGGAGATAAAACAACCAAATTGGACAAATGCTAATGACATCATGAAAAATGTAACCACTATCACTGAGCAATCTCTGTAGTCATTGTTAAACTGGAAAATAATCTGAAGCATAAAATTTCACCCAAACATTAATTTTTAAAAATAGTGACACTGGCACATTAGTATATGGCCTGAAATATCTTGAAAAAATTTAAATGTGTTAAAGGTAATTATTTAACATTTTTTCCACCTAAAGCATAGTGTAAAGAAACTAAAATACTCACCACCGAGATTTTTCAGCAATCTGGAAGTGTCGTGCCCTTTCTGAGCCAGTTCTCGGATTCTCTGCTCTTGTTTTAGTCTCTGTGCCAGCTCCTGTGCCCTCTGCATCGTCTGGAACAGCTCATTTGTCTTAAGAGTCATGATTTCCTATCAATAGACACGTATATAGTCATTAAACAGAGATGCTGAACTCATTCAGGGTTCAGAGTTGTCTCATATTTCCCGAGCTCTTACTGTGACCTAGCACTGTTCTAAACTCTGGAAGTATATCAGCAAACAAGCAAGGTAAGGTTCCTACCCCCATGGACCTTACATTTTAATAACTTCTTCTATAGCTACATTTTTTAAAAAACCCCCAATTTCCTCATTGTCATGAAGTTGAAACTGACCCACAGCTGAGCCTCCAGTGGCTATAAACTACATGGAAGGACAGTGCCCATTTTTCTGCCTTGGAGCTGCTGGGGATCTGAACTGCTGAAGAGGCAACACCTTTGGGTTATACTCTTACAACACTTTTGGGTTATACTCTTAATGCCCTACAGACTACACTGTAGAGCTACTAAAGTGACATTAGATCACAAGTTTAAGAAACCTCTTTTCTCAGCCTCAGTCTTGGAGCTGCTGTCAAAGACTCAGCTGCCTCTCCCATGAACCACCTTCACTTCCCGATGCTCTGTCCTCCTGTCCGCCTTCTCTTGCCGCCTCCTTCCACAGGCTGTTTCCACCAAGGAAAAGGAATAGTATCATATCCCTCATAGAGAATAAGAAAACCTTCTCAAATGTCTCTTATTTTTCTTTATGCAAAATGTTATGTTTCCACATATAATTCCTATTACTAAAATGCATGCAAATTTCTCCTGCTTGTTATTAATGAAAAACATATGACACTACTACATCCAGTTTCAGGGGTCTCTGGTGGCCTCGTGGTAAGAAGCTGCACTGCAATCCCAAAGGCATGTAATTTAAACCCACTAGTTCCTCTGTGGAAGAAGGATGGGCAATCTCCTCCTGTGTGATTTACTGACTGAAAACCTGCTGGAGGGTCAGTTATGGGTTGGTTCTGACTCCATTACCACATCCATTTTTATACTAAAATGTTACAGTCAGAACATGAATACCTACTTCTTTTTGTTTCTGCTTCAGTATGTCCTCTTCATACTGTTTCTGCATCTCCTCTCTTTCCCGTGCCAGACGGCGCTCTTCTTCTTGTTCCTCCTTCTTTCTCTGCTCCTCTTCTAGCTGCTTCGTCCTACGCTTCTCCTCTACCTGAGCAGTGATGGCTTTCTAGTCATAAAAAGTCACAGAAATCACTGTCACAAAGAAAAAGTCACCAACTACTTATCTGGTAAGTCTAGACTCAACAGTATACAGGAAGTAGTACATATATAAATAAAGGAGAAATGAACCATTTCTCCTCCTATTCTCCCACTTATCCTGTCAAACTTTAACGCCTTTTGTCAACACCAAGAGGACCAATGGTGTACACAGAAAACTAAAGGCAGCATCTCAGTGCTCTGCACACTCACTCCTCACACTGTCCAGCCAGTTTTGACTCAGGAACCCTCATCGAGTTTCCATAGCTGACAGACCATCCTTCTCCCTCAGGGCCGCTGGTATATTCAATCCGCCAAGACTGAATGACACTCAGTAAACGGATTCCGAATAATGTAACTAAGCCACTTTATCACATTTTAAAGAGATTTAGAAATTTTAGGTCCTTTAGTATCTGACTAAAATGGACAGAAAGCACTTTTTTCTTAAAAGCTTACAAGTTGTATTGATTTTTCATCCAATCATTCATAGACTTGATTTATAACACTAATTACAACTTATTAATGTAACTGATTTATTATAATGCCTAATCAAACCTTTCCTGTCCTGTGCCTATTCCTTCACCCAGCAAACCTATTTTTAAATTTTCACTCCCCTCTCCCTCCTTTTACATCCCTGTTCATCCACGAAAGTTGATTCTGTGTATAACAAATCTTCCCTTGGCTTTTTACATTAGTAGTCTTATACTGTAATTATCTTTTGGGTCTAACTTTTGTCATTCAGCATAATTGGTTCTAGATTTATTCATGTTGTTCAGTATTTCACAAATTCTATTTCAATGATACGTAATATTCCATTAATTATATTCCATTATACTTTCTTTAGTGTTTTGTCTATTGAAACATTCCATCTCTTTTGTATTATAATGTTATAATAAACATGGGTATATATGTATATAAATTTGTGTCATAGCTCTTATTTCTTTGGGTTATATACCCACTTTGTGGGGTTGCAGGAAGTTCTGGTGACTTAGTGGTAAGGAGTCGCATTGCCAACTCAAAGACAAGTGATTGGAATCTACCAGCTGCTCTATGAGAGAAAGATAAATAATCTCCTCTCATGAGATCAACTGCCTCTGAATAGAGTCAGCTATGAGTCAGTTCCAATTTGATGGTTCACAGCAGTAAGGCTACAAGATCAAATGGTATTTCTATTCCCAACTTTCTAAAGAAATGCCACACTGCTTTCACTTTACATTGCCACTACCATATATGAGAGATCCTTCCAATCTCTCCATACCTTCACTACCATTTGCTGCTTACTGTCTTATTGAACCCTTCTATTTTCACCCAGGTGAGATAGTATGTCACGGCTGTTTTGATTTGCATTTGATTTTAATTGTATTTGGAGAGCATTTTCTTTTTTTTTTTTTAAATTTTTATTATTTTTGTGTGAGTACCGTCAAATCAGATCTGACTGGTACAGGAGGAGATTGTCCCTCCTTCCCCGGCAGAGCATCTGGTGGATTCGAACCGTGCGCCTCTGGGATTGTAGTTGCAACTCCTTGCCAGTAGGCCACCAGAGCTCCCCTTGCAATGGGCTTTTGTGTGTCAGGAAGTGTGAGGATGGTGCCGGATAGAACAAGATTCAGATCTTTGTTCATAGGGTTGCTATGAGTTGTACTCAACTCAGCGGCACCTAACAACAACCTAACTTGAGAGGTACTGGAAAGCATTATGCTAAGTGAACTAACTCAGTCCCATAAGGATAAATACTGTATAAGACCATTATTGTAGAACATGTATGAGGAATCCAAGAGAGAGAGGGAGGAAGGGAGGTAGTAGAGAGGAGAGCAATTTCATTACAGCCTCCTTTTGTTATTTTATCTGCTAGTTTTCTTAATCATAATTCCATTTTAATTCCTTATATATTTCATTCTAAAAATTTATTTTCATCCAGCACAAAACTAAATTGTTGAGAAACACCTAGTAACATAAGACCTATTACATATTTATATACACAATCTCTGTATTAAAGACTAGCTCTATTGAAAGAAAATTACTGTATTTTATGCTATTGGTGGTTCTAAGTACAAGTATAGGGAGCTCTGGTGGTCTAGGGGTAAGAAATTGCACTGCAATCCCAAAGGCATGCATTTCAAATACACTAGCTGCTCCATAAAGAAGGATACACAATTTCTTCCCATGCAATTTATTGCCTCTGAAAACCCACTGGAACGTCAGCTATGGGTCAATTCTGACTCAACACAACAATAAGTACACTGCCACTTGGGGCAGGGAATGAATTCATTCTAAGATAAAGTAGGACTTGTGCTATCATACAATTTTCATTTACTTAGTTATCTTACTTAGTCATGACTTCACTTATCAAGGCAAAGAAAAGTGCTTTTACAATTAGATACCTGATGTTCTAACTGTTTTTGCCGCCGTCTATCTCTTTCCTCAATCTGAGTGGGGTCCAAGAGAGCAGTCATGGAACGGAGAAAGCTGTCAAGACAGATGCATATTAGCAATTGAAAAGCCCCAAAAGATGAACTGTTCATTTTTGCTTGGGATAGATTTACTATTAATTTCTGTTCCACCAAAAAAAAAACAAAAAAAAAAAACCAAGCACTGTAGCCAATTAGGTATCAGAGAAAAGTTAATACTTTTAATTGAAGCATGCAGACTTTTCCAGCTATCAACAAATACTGAAAAATGAACTTACTTTGTTTTCTGACTGTTTGCCTTCGCCACATCCTGAACAGGTCTTGCTACATGCTCTTCCTCCAAAGGTCCAGCCTGACTTCCATTTGTAGGCGTATCAACGCTGCTGATGTCAGCAAGCTGAGTGTCTGGAGAGACACAGAAGTACTCCTCGGGTGCTTTCAGTGTTGATCGAGAGGACAGCTGAGACTCAGAACCCAGGTAATTCTTTAAGGAATCAAAATGCATTGCCCATCTGTCATGTTCCTCACCCTAATAATGACAAACAAGAAATGCTAAGAAATTATTAGAACTGTTTTCTCAGACGTAAAATCATAAATGACAATCAAAATCTGCTTTTCTAAAAGCCACCACAGAGTAGAGGATCAGGACCAGTTGCCTCTGAGTTGATTCTGACTCTTAGTTGACCCAGGTGGGCCAGAGTAGAACTGGGCCCACAGGTTTCCAGTGGCTGAGCTGTTCAAAGGACAATGGCAGGCATCTTTCTCTCAAGGCACCTCAGGGTAGACTCAGAGCTCCAACCTCTTATTTATAAGCTGCCAAGTGCATTAACTTGGCTTTAACATAGCACCACTCACAGACTTTATATAGCAGAGTAAGTATCAAAGAAGTGAACAAAACTGTATTGTTATGATTCTATATTCATTTATGCAATTAACCTGGCAGGGAAACACTGCATGGTTCAAAATTGGGGAAAGTGTGTGCCAGGGATGCGGCCTATCTCCATACCTTTTCAACCTGTATGCAGAACAGATTATCCGAGAGGCTGGACTCTATGAGGAGAAGTGTGGCATCAGGATTGGTGGAAGATCTATCAACAATCTGCGTTATGCAGATGACACAACCCTGCTTGCTGAAACTGAGGAGGACCCGCTTGCTGCAGAGAGTCAAGGACTACAGCCTCCAATATGGATTGAGGCTCAATGTCAAGAAGACAAAGATTCTCACCACTGGATGGATGGTGAAGAGATTGAGATTGTTAACAACTTTAGTCTGCTTGGCTCCACGGTCAACATTCTTGGCACCAGTAGCCAGGAAATCAAAAAGTGTATTGCAATGGGAAAGTCTGCTGTTAGGGACCTCTCCAGCGTACTGAAGAGCAATGGTGTCACTCGGGAAACTAAGGTGTGTCTGATACAGGCTATGGTCTTTGCAATCACTTGTTAGGCGTCAGAGTGCTGGACAATGACTAGGAAGGATAAAAGGAGAATTGATGCCTTTGAGCTGTGGTGCTGGAGAAGAGTATTGAGGATACCATGGACTGCCAAGAAAACAAACAGATTCATCCTGGAGAGGGTTAAACCAGGCTGCTCCTTGGAGGCAAGGATTCTGAGGCTTTGTCTGACATACTTTGGACATGTTGTAAGAAGAGACAGGTCCTTGGAGAAGGACATCATGCTTGGGAGGGTGGAAGGACGATGCAGAAGGGGAAGACCCTCTATGAGGTGGATGGATTCAGTGACTGGGGTAATCAAGATGGGTGTGTCAGAGGCAGTGCGATTGGCACAGGATAGAGCACAGTTTAGGGCTGTTGTATATAGGGTCGCTATGAGTCGCAAGTGACTCAATGGCACAAAACAACAACAACAATTAACCTAGAAAACAAGAGGGATAGGAAATAACTACAAAGTAAATTACAGGAAGCGATGGAAAATCACACCTGCTAAATCCACTTATGGAAAGCAAGTTGACATGAACAAGTGTGAAAGTTTTGAGTACTGTGTCCTGGCTATGCAGTTTCAGAATATTTATGCATTTTAAGAATTTATTTTAAATGAAAATTATTTCTTTTTATGCTTCTAGAAGAATATCCAAAGTTACCTTTGAATATATTACTTTTTCCTCTATTTTTCTTTGCCGGTCTTCTTCTATTTGCTTATTCAACTCTTCAATCCATTTCCTCTGCTGTTCCTGTTTCACAGAATTTAAATGGTGCTCCAGTGGAACTGTTTCCTAAACAAAAACCATCAATAACCGATAAAGTTCAGAAAATGGTTTCTCATCATATCATATTTCCAGTTTCTGCCATAGTTAACTGTTGAGGATTGAATTGTATTCCTCCAAGTGATCCCCCATGATCTCAATAAGACAAACAGTTGTTGGAGGAATGGAATATAATACTTACACATCTCAACCGTAACTGGATGTAAGGGCAAGTTCCCTTAGGGTCTGACTTTTATTTCAATGGAGAGAAAAGAAGGAAAGTGAGGGAGATATGCGCACATACCAACATAGTACCACCAAGTAAGTACAGAAGTGCGTCCCTGTGTGATGAAACTCCTTAACGGCAGGAAAAGCCAGACGACTGGGAAGTTTCCAGGGAATGCTAGGCCTACAGATGCTAGAAGAAACAATGGTTTTCTTCTCCAACCAACAGAGAGATAGGCACCCCTAGAAGATTGTATCCTAACTTGGACGTCAAGTCTCCTCAAGTGTGAAAACAATAAATTCCTGTTTATTAAAGCCATTTATCTGTGGTATCTTTGTACAAAAGAACTCCAAGACGTAAGAAAAATGCTTTGTTTACTATTCTAGCAATATATCCACCAATGTTATTTTCTGGCTTTATTTTATCAGAACAATGTGTTGCTTTTTTGATCAAAGGGAATATTTATACTAAGAAAAATCTTACTGTTTGAGATGCTCTACAAAAATTTTAAATGATGAAAAAATCATATTTACTTAAGTTCTTTATAGAAGAACCACTTCAGGAGGAATACTGCCTTCTGCTAAATGGTGCAGAAATTCTTCTTCCCTTATGGAAGCTCTGCTGGTATATTCTGTAGGGGCTGCACTGTTAATCTAAAGCCTGAGCCTCTGTGGCAGCTTGAATCCACCAGCAATTCTGAGGGAGAAAGATGGGCACTTTCCCACGTGATTTACTGCCTCAGAAACTCAATGGAGGGCTGAGTCAGCTTCAACTCAATGGCAGTGCATTCTCTCCCTACAAATGCTGTTTAGGATGTCTATTGCTAGAGGGTCAGCAGTGGACATCTGACTTGATGGCACACAACATTAACAAGTACTAGGTAGTTTGGACCACTAAAAGAACAAACAGGTTCATCCTAGAGAGAGACTGAAACCAGGATGCTCCTTGGAGGCAAGGGTTCTGAAGCTCTGTCTGACATACTCTGGGCATGTTGCAAGGAGGGACCAGTCCTTGGAGAGGGACATCATGTTGGAAGGGTGGAGGGACAGCACAAGATGGATTGACTCAGTAACTGGGGTAATGGGGGTAGGTGTATCAGAGATGATAAGGTTGGCTCAGGACACAGCAGGGTTCAGAGCTGTTTTACATGTGGTCACTATGAGACATGAGCAACTTGACAGCACAAGACAACAACTATGATGAAAGCTAAAGGTTTACACACACATCAACTCATTCTTGCATGGTTACCAAGGAGAGAGAGAGAGAGAGAGAGAGAGAGAGAGAGAGAGTGGGAAGTCAAATTAGTAAATAGATAATAAATGCAAAGAAAGATGGGTAAAATGAAAGGCAACAGCCAATAATGGGATGAGCTACATGCTATCACTAAACAAAGGGAAGACACAGAGAGTTATGTAAGGATTAATGAGAATGAGAATTACAGGGAGGAAGTGGGGAAAAAGGTGGTTTCATTGTGGATTTTGAAATTTAATGTTATAAAACAAAATGTGTCCACATAGCTGAATGAAAATTTAATTTGTATTTTAACTTCCACTCAAGAACCACAAACTGCCACTCTGGGAAGGGAGAACAGTCAGTGATGACCTTGTCAAAGCCTATGTTTGTTTCTGCAGATTTCAACAATGACACTCAAGGTGATTTCTCTCAGCACGGCTTTCCTGATCCCAGGTGTCAAATTGTAAAAGCACTAACTATGCCACTGTATTAGGGTTTTCTGTTGTCTCAAAGCTGAAACCCTTGACGATTACCCATCAAGAAGCCCTCAGACTTCAGCCACCCAAGATGTCTACAAAATAACTCAAGGTAGAAAAAAAAATCCACAAGATAGGGTGGAAGCAGCAAAGACCGCAGGGGCAACCTGCAACTTCTAGAGGATTGCCCCATTCCCAGAGCCTCCCCTGGGCTTTCCTAACAGCTGCTCAGGAACAGCATGGCCAGGTCAATTGTTATTCACATCAGGTAGCCACCATGGGAGCCTGGTTCAACTTCCCAAGCCTGAAGACTTCTTTACCAGCCCCATGTCCCCACCAAAGATCCTGGATTAAAAGTTACCCACAGTACAAGCAGGACTTTAAGGTACTTGTAAGAGGATGACAAGTACTCCCAGTAACCAGCTGAGGGTGGTAAAGCAGATGGCACCAGGGAGAATTCTAGCACTTCAAAGCCAGGAAATTAAAAAAGATCCAGACCCTAACTAGAGTCAAGACTTAATTCCTCTTAAAAGACTTATTGTAGGGCCCTCTGGAAAGAGCCTGCCTGGCTCCATCAAACCTACCTAGCCAGGATGAGCTAGCACTGGCCATTCTAATGGTCTTGTCAGCTAACATGATCCCTTTGTAAAGATCCCACTAGTCCCTCAACCTAATGGCAGCTCATATACTAATCACACCCAGCCCTCCTCCAGTGGGTGCCTATGGCCTGGATGAGAGTGGCTAAGACTAGCATGACCTGACCTTAAGCTGACTTAACTACCCTAACTCTCCTCACCTCCCATCCAAATTGCTATTGGAAAACTTTTGCCATCATAATCAAGAGGGCCCTATTGGTCTCCTTTCTCTTGGCTTTTCTCCATACCTATTCAATTGTAAGTTGAGAAACTGGACTCTCTGAGGAAGAGTGTGGCATCAAGATCAGTCTGAAAAAGATTCAACAACAACAACCTGCCTTATGCAGATGACACAACCTTGCTTGCCGAAAGTGAGGACCTGAAGTGCTTGCTGCAGAAGATCAAAGACAATAGTCTTCAATACAGATTGCATCTCAAAGTCAAGAAAAAAATTCTCACTGTTGGACTGGCAACATCATGATAAATAGAGACTGAAACTGTCAATGACTTCATCCTACTCAGATACACAATCAACACATGGTACCAACACTAAGGAGATCAGGAGACACTGGGAAAGTCAGCTGTCAGGGACTTTTCCAAATTACTCAGGAGCACTAATGTCAGTCAGACAGCTTTGGTGCACCTGATTCAGGCCAGTCTTTTCAATCACTTGCTATGCATCTGAGAGCTGAACAATGAATAAGGATGACAAAAGAACTGATGCCTTTGAGCTGTGTTGCTAGAGAAAAGCACTGAACATCCCATGGACTATCAAAAGAACAAAGAGGTATGTCTTGGAGAAAGTAGTCAGAGTGCTTCTTGGAGACGAAGATAACAAAGCTTCATTTCACATACTCTGGGCATGCTGCTAGGAGTCTACACCTTAGAAAAGGACAACATGCTTGGAAAGGTCAGCAAAAGACAGGAAAACCCTCAATGAAATGTACTGACACAGTGACGCCAGCAAAGGGCTCACGTGTGTCATAGATGATGAGGATGGCACAGGACAAATGGAGTTCAGATCTGTTGTTCATAGGGTCACTGCAAGTCGTACTCGACAAGACAGCACTTAACAACTACTACTCCTACTCCTGCCCCAAACCCCCAGGGGTCACCAACACTCCTCAATATCAGATGCAACAAGGGATAGAGCGCTTAAAGCCAAATGTTAAAGAGAGGTTTTTAGAAAGTGTTCTGATTCTTAAATGTCTCCTCTGAATTCTCAAATGTAGCTTGTGCTCAAAGTAAACATTGCAATCTGAACAAGGCTGTTTTCTCCTATTGAGGTACCTCACCTAATACAGTATCCACCTTGATTACCATTCAAAAGGTGAAGGCCCAATAGGAACAGTGTCACTGGCGTGGTTAACTTGTTTTACTATGTCCCTCAAGTCCCATCTTAACTTGTCCTCACCTCGGAACGCCAACAACACACCTTCATCAGACCCCTACAAGATTCCTTAAGAGGCCAACCTCTGCCCACTGCTGTGCCAGCAAGATTCTGAAGGTCTTCCCTACCAGACGTTTTCTCTGTGGGCACTCTGTTGATTCTATTTTGATGCCCAAATCCACATAAGAGACCACCAGGCACTGCTCTGCCATTTACTACCAATCACCACCACTGGGTCATCACATCCAAGAAAATCCAAGACCCAGCCCTAACTATCAAGTTCCTAGGAGACCTCTTCTAAAAGGGCAACACACTGCCAAGCCAACACAAGACAAGTTCCTCAGCCTTCAATCCACAATTACACAAATGTGTAAGGGAAACACAATGACTCCTCACACTTAGAACAATTTTGAAACAACATATACCCCAGCCTTAAAGGTTAATGAAGGTTTTTCTTTTAAAACTTTTTTTGCCATGTGAAGGTTTTCTGTCATAATTCTCATCTATTATTCTATTTTTCTTTTTTCAGAAAATCAATTAAGGTTGCATCTTCATAATCCCCACTGCCATAATCATCTCATCTTCCTTCCTTCCTCTCCTGCACTGACCCTCCCCTCCCCCTTCCAAGCATGATGTCCTTTTCCAAGGAATGAACCCTTCCTGACAGTATGCCCAAATCAATCCTTGCCTCCAAGGAACAACCTGATTTGACCTTTTCCAGGACAACTTGTTTGTTTTGCTGGCAGTGTGTGGTTAATTTTAATACTCTTCACCACCATCACAACTCTTCTGTCATCTCAGAAGAGATGTGCATAGTAGGCACATTCAAACACTTCACTGACTGTCCACTGGTCTAAAGGTATAGAGTTCATGGTCTGTGAGACTCAATTTATCCACTCAATTTGGCCTAATACAGGTATCAAAATAAAAGTCAGTCATCGCTATTGAACTGAAATTGACTCATAGCTGACCCTCCAGTGGGTCTGAGGAGGCTGTAAATCCCAAGAAGGGGGAGACAGTCCATCTTTCTCTAGAGGAATTGCTGGTGCCAGAGCAGCTTCTGCGAGCAG